GGTGAAAATAAATTCCAGACTGAAGCAACTGAGATACTATAAGTGGAAAACAAATAAGGGAAATCAACTTCTGCTTCCTGTGAAGACAGATAGCAGTCAACAAATTTTGTCATTGACAAGTCAAAGTAAAATCCTTTGCATTTAACAGAATTCGCAATGTTTTGATCCTGTGATTAATATATATTAAAAGAAAGAACATTTGGAACATTGGTGCAGAAAATCTAAAATGTACCCCATTTTAGATCTTCTCTCTTTAGACCTCCCATGTGGCCCATTTCTGATACTAATTGTCATTATTGATGGATTATATTGACCTCTCTTCTTGCCAGTCCCTGATTACAATGAAACCAGGTGACGCACCATTTGAGTTTATTCTTTGATTTTTACAGGAGAACCTGAGAATCCTGAAGCAAGAGAGAGACATAAAGAAGTTTGGGGACAAGCTAAGTGAATTGATTCAGAAGAAGACCCTGATCAGATCCTTCGCTAGGTATTGCAATTGCCAATTTGAATTTCCTTTCTCAAAAGAGAAATTCCCTTTCCCGTATCCATACCTAAAAAGATTTGCCTAAAAAGAACCTAAAAAGAAAAAAAGCTTTGAATCTCCCAATACCCCGAAACAATTAATGGCGTGCCACTGTCACATAGATGCAAATGCCATGATTCTCTATCTATACAGGATTGCTGGAGTGGAGGAAGAGGAAGTTTTTCAGAGGTTCTCGCAGCAAGTGACTGATGAGTCACTCAAACCATTCATGAGCATAAAGAAGAAGCACGAGACCGCAGACGAGTGGAAGAGCTACGTGGAGCTATGCATTTCGGGGGAAGCAATTCAGAGGGTGGAAAAGTTTCCAGAAACAGGTCTTGATGTTCATACCATTTTAGGAAACCACATGGAAATTCCAAAAGGCGCATTTATACACCCTCTCCATGCTGCGGTCTTTTCAATCGATGTGAGATATCGTGTTTCGTCTTCTTGCTAATGTGTTGGTGACTCTTTACATCTATTTTCTTGTGTCCCGATTTTAGGATGCCGGAGATGTTGAGAAATATCTCCTGGGGCTCCATGCGCATCAAGGTCGTTGTGAAGCAGAAAAGAATATCCCCACCGCCTTCTGTGTTGATGATATCAAACACGCTGCAGAGATCCGGGACTCCCTCAGAAGACAGGAACTGAAAACCGATGTCGCCATTTTGCATAAGACGGAATGTGAAGGTGAGTAATTGAATTCATACCTGGAAAAACCTAAGTCTCGGTTTATAGCTTCAATTTTCCCGATTCCAGGAGAACTTTTCAAGCACCAGCACACCTATGTGGTGATTGGAGCTAGGCACAGGATTGCTCTTCCAACATCTGTGCTCACGAGGAAGGAGTTTCTGGAATCTTTTCAAAAGCCCAACTGCTGGCTCCTGTCGAACATCCGAGACTTGAGTGAGTCGAATGTGTGAGATGAATGATTTTATGTGTTTGTAGGCTGCTCATGTACTGCCGGACGTAATGAACAAATTGGGAGACTTATCGATTTCTCGCAGGAAAAGGAGAACTTCCTCCTCAGATGAAGCTGGTCACCCTTGTTGATTTGAAGTTTGAGTCCCAGGGGAGTAGCGGAGACACAGAGACATCCATTGAGCTTCTTCCTGGCATTGAATTGGAAACGCAAACTGAGTGGGTTTTTCTTTTCAATCTATTTTCTTTTTATAGGAAAACAGTACATCGATAATGACACATTTCTCTCCTGATTTTGAAGGGACATAGACATGGGAGACAAGACATGGGAGAATTTCGATCTCGAAATGTCTCCAGATATTCCAGCAGAGTGTCAGTAAACCCGAGTGCCCGGCTTCCAGAGTCTCTCATGGAGTTACTCTCTATAACAAGATGAGTTTGAAATATTTCTACTGAGATTGTGGCTTTTAATTTGTCATTAAGTCTGAAAATAGTCATTTTTTTATTTGTCCCCGATTTTTTTTGCTGCTGCGACGCAAGTACAGGATTCGGCATTGCTGTCCATGGCAAGGAAAGTACTTCCTCAATTTCCTTTTCTCGTTAACACTGAAATTTATGCTATCTATTGATATCTATCTATCACTTTTTCCCTTCGTCAAGGTGACATTGAAAAGGGGGCTATCAGAGGAAAATTCGAGTTGGGTCAAGGCACTATAGATTTCATGGCAATGCCTTCAAAAGGGTCAGTGTCAAATTGTATGATTCTTTCCCTTAAGTCTCATACAGGGAGGGGTTATAAGTATTTTATTTTTTGTTCACAGGTATGGAACGGCAATGAGCCAGAAACACTACTTCAAGGAGACTGATGAGCTTTGAAGTATCAATGGAATAAGTCTTCCAACCGTGTTGCCATTTTACAGGGGTGAATGACGTGAGTGCATCCGATTTATTTTCCTTCATGAAATCCGAATGCCTTCGAAGTTCATATTGCTGGTTCACATGAGGTTATCTAAGGTCATTATATCATCAAGTAAAAGTATGAGAAAGAAATCAGTTGTCGCAAAATACTCGTTAAAGAAGAAAGGCACGTTGTTATGCTTTGTTTTCTAAAAACTAACATTGAAGTGAAGGATGGGTGAGCGACATTTAAAGCAATTTTTTTCATGGTTCTATCATTCCTGTGGAATGATGTGACGCAAAATCAATATATATATTACAATCATTGCAAAAGAGATACGCGATGAAACTCCTTTCTGCAGCTCACATGGAACGCATTTTTCATGACTTTCTTCTCTTTAGGACGTAGGAGATTGGGAGTCACATGGAGGCAGAGAGAACGAGGATCAGTTGTGACCTTCAACCGTTGATTTTAAAAACTGAAGCAAATGATATCCCATTGGCCTTCGAGTGAGCCAAAGTTTAGTGTGGGATTGAACTCGGTGCCCCCATTTTATTATGTGTCTAGATGTCATTGTGTAACATCAGAATTCATGGTTTCGCATTGATTGATATCTTATCCATGTCTTTTCATGTATCTGATTTTTTCTAGATGGTGTTTCCAATAAATACCTGTATGAGAATAAACTGACTCGACAGTGATGTTTTTACTTTGAATTGGGTGAATTTCCCGGACATGGGAATCGATATATTTTACTCCGTTCGCCCCCATGGCTGGATGGGTTTTGGGCCAAATGGCCACCCTCCCATCCTGTACATAGGCAAGCGCATTGTATTTCTCACAAGAAACGTTTCCTGCCATTTGACTCGAAACCTTCCTACGGACGTCCTAATGCGCATGTCCGTCCTCCACAGGTTGGGATGCTGGCCATTTGGCTCAACTACCATCATGTCAGATACACCATGCACATGCCTGCTCCGAGGAAGTTAAAAAGGCCAAATGGACAGAAACCCATCCTGTGGTGACGTAATGAACTTATTGGCCTGTATCATGGTCATTGCAAAGACGTAATACGAAATGAGCCATGATTACATAACCATGCAAAATCGAAAACGTTTAACCCTGGGATGAAATAATCCTTTCGAAAAAAAAGTACACCCTCATGTGCACTGGCTTTATCTCGATATGGCGCCAATCATGAGTATAACTGATATTTGAAAAAATATGCATTTCATGATGCATTTTTTGGGTATAATTTGAGCCTGATGCTTTAAATTCCAAGTACTGATTTTTTGTCTTTAAACAGGGAGTAACTTCTCTATGGAATTATCACTGCTGGAAGGACAAGAGAAGATATTACCACGTTATTGGGTTCATAGGACGACAATTCCATGCAATTATTTGCCATGGTGTATCAAAAAGCCTTCTTGGTGGGCATATGGTTTGCAATGCGTGCTTCTTCAAGGCAATTATGGTAGTAACACTGTAAATTGCTTATTTGAACTTTCAAATCCTTATTGAAACATGTTCATTATGAGAGATGATTCCATGGGTAAGGGGAGTGCACTTTTGTGTCCTTTGAGAAATGCGAGAAACTCTTACCTACATCTAGTGGCCTAGAGGAGAACTTCAAACGGAACCCTATAGGCCTATACGGTTCCATATAGGTACTATAGGGAACCATATAGGTCCCAAACTGAACTCTATGGGGTCTACAGGAACCTATAGGATCCAAAAATATTCCTAAAGGAATACATATATTGGAATCCTATAAGGCAATTTCCTAAGATTAGGAAGGTTTAGTCCCATGCAATCGTCATCAGGTGCTAAATTGTTTCAACATGAAGAGTTCCATCTTTCTCTCACTGAATATGAGAGTTTTTTTTCGACTAGGAATTCGAACGCGAATCTCCTGTGCGATAGATGAGACACCACATCTCTCACACGCTCAGAATTCAATGCTAGTAAGTCAGTTGAAAGAACTTGAGACATATTCTGGTTCCATTTGGAAAACAGCAATTCAGAATCTTCTTGAGTTTTGTCTTCATCACTCTAGTGCAAAAAAAAAGCCAACTGAGTGAAGCAATACCGATCAGCAATTGGATGAACTACTGGCAAAATTGTGTCACCACATAAAATTATTGATTATAAAAATTATTGGTACAAAAAATCATTGATTATAAAAACTATTGATTTTAAAAATTATTGATGAAAATGATTTATTATTGATTATTATTGAAATATTGATGGGGGCCTCATCTATTGACGACTTCTGTAAAAAGGTGCGAATCCTCCTCGAGTGTGCTCCATTCAACGTACTAAAACAGACGAAGGAGAATCTCACACCTTCATGCTGTCGTAGCCTCATCAGTCCCCTTTTTCCCTCCAACTCCCTCGTCCTTGGATCTACCTATGGGCCTGGGCGATTTGGCGAGCGCAGTCGTTCGACTGACCCAGTCGGGTGCGGGGAGTCCATCTCAGGAACCGGATGGAGGTCATTGTTCATAGTTACTGGTGCACCATCGAGTGTACGAACCAAGTTAGGCTCGAGATTCTGAAGTTGATCCGGAGTCGCAGGGCGTTCGTGCGCTCAAGAGCTCTTCCACACGAGTTGCACAGTGTAGGATGCGTTGATTGTATTTAGCTATCGCCATGCAATTTCCAGAGTTGCTCTTCTGCTAATTTATTTCATGAGCACACCAGTGGGTTTGCCTTCCCTAAGGGCCGACTAAGTAGCAATGTGGTAATGTGAAAACCAATTTTCAACGGTTTTACCTATTTTCAACCGTTAACCTCACCCTCACCTTCACCTTCTCCCTCGACCTTCTCCCCTTCTCTACGAAACTCACTAGCGCTAGGACTAGGCCTACCTTTCTCATTCAAAAGAAACGCAATCCTCGACCTACAGACCAATTAGATGTATAATGATTAATCCCTTGTCTTGGAGGACGTGTAACGTTAGGCCAATCGCAGGCCTATTTAATTTATCATGGCCCATTAAGCAGAGAACGAGTAACGTGTAGGTATTTTTCGAGTTTCATGAACCATTTCGGTGCGGTCGGGGAACATTGGGCCTATCCAGAGTTCCTCGAACCGGCTCGACTCGTTCCGAGAAGAAAGTCCCATTAGAAAGCATGACATCCGAGCTAGCCGCCATCATGTTAATTTAGTCAGGTCCAGATGAGATATCTCCGGATTGCTCCAAATCGTTCTTTACTCAGTGATTGGCCATGGCGCAGGAAAATTAAAGAAAAATTAGGAATTTGTATCATGAACAGCACGGAATGTGTAAAGTATATGCTTACATGTTGCTAGTCTGTCACTACAGGGGTATGCATGCTATGAAAGCTTAGCTGTTAGAATGTGAATGTACTCTGGTCCACCACTTGGAGCCGGTTCATCACTGGGTATTTTACCCTACATCTAGTCGACGATTACCAGAAGATAACCTCTTCCACGAGTTCCAGCTCCTTGCTTCCAAGTATCAGCACGTTTTAAGTCCCGTTATTCAAAGTACATGCCATACGCCGTTTACTGTTTTGTTCTGCTACTGCTTTTCCCTTCTGGTATCATGCCACGGAGTTTGCCACGAGAACATTATCCATGCCTGATATTAGTATCTACGGGAAAACAATTAGTTGACTTCTCTTACTCAAACTAGTGCTGTTGAATTTCATATACATAAATTGAATGTCGTGTCATAGACCACATACGTTAGCATGTGGTGTCTAATACTGCCAGCGCTGTCGAAAGGAAGGAGAGTAACTGTTAAACCTGACATGATGTGAATGCAGGATGTAAAGACTTGCCTAAGGCAGAGCTCACGAAAACTCAAACTGAAAACTACCATTTTACGATACGGAAAGCAGGATTGCAACACTTTTGCTTTTGAGTAACATTGCACGTGATTGGGAGACAATATATAGAGACTGTGTGTGTGTAATCGGAGTGATCAAGCATACATTAAAGTGACCATGCGCTACGAGAGTAAAATAAGAGGTCTTACATTGCAGGAAAAATGTTGCGTAGTTTTTGCATGTATGGATAAATAGTGCCAAAAAAATCACAGAATGCCCTATTTGCACGAGGGATATTTACTTGCATTCAAGTTTCGTGCAACAAAAATTTCTGGAGAATGTCAGCGATGCAGAAGGAGATGCATGAGCATATCCTCATGCACGGCCTACTCATGTACGGCATATTTCGTCCAGATATCCAGTACGTCTATCCATATATCCAAAGGAAGTGCATTGGATGAACTTTTGTAGCCTGAGATCCCACACGAAAGGATGCCGACACTATCAATAGGACAGTGCGGTGCTAACATGAAATGAAGAATGTGTCCATATTACCCCAAATCGAGATGGCCAAATTCCCCCATATTGACTCACTTTAGAAAATTAACAACATTGCCTACGAACCGCAAGTGAAGGGACTAGCACTTTGCACAAGCATTCTGGAGGGACCATAGATGAACTTAAAAGTAATGGTTTCCGTATCCATGCTGCTATTAGGAAATATACGCTTATGTTGCTCAAGGCTCACATTATTTTCAGGGTCATGAGTCAAAGAATCGCATGCATATGACTTTCAAGATGTCGATGTATCCCGAATTCCTGTGAAAACTGGATCAATGAACAGGTCTAAATATGTCCTCTTCGATAGAACTATTTTTTAAAATCGCCCAAACTAATTATTCAATCTAAAAGGGGATTCCTTGTGAAGGGCCATATTACCCCAATGGCCATATTCCCCCAAGTTACCCTATCCAAAAATCGAGGCAACATCGTAATATTTGATTTGATAGGGTATAAATCTGATATTAAGGACGATTTCAGAAAGCTCGGTATGATCGATTTGATGAGATTCGCCTTTAAATAAATGACCGAAATCATTTTTATTCCAGGAACATTGCCCGTCATTCAGTTAGAATGCATTATATTTCTCATGCTTTCCACAGGTATACATGGGGAGTGAGAAAATAAAGCCTTTCAGAGAAGCCAGCAATGAATTTCTGAAGCAGTTCTACCCTGAGGCAGGAACACGTCACTACTCTTTCCCTGCTGGTTTCCTGCTTGATGACGATGACCTGGAAGAATTGGTTTCAAAAGCAAAGGTTCAGCAACAGAAAGACGATGTGCCCCTCCCGGAACATTATATGGCCAAGTCGGCAGTTTTCGATCGCGTGAAAAGAATGTGTGGTGGGGCTCCATCATTGTTGCTTTATGATTACAAATTCTGTGAGACATTCGATTATAACAAATCAAACCTGTCCAAGCTGACAAAGGAAAAACAAAAGGAATTAAATGTCAGCCGACATTACCTCGGAGAATGTTCACATAGCTCTTTCTTGTCTTACCCCAGTGGAAACGCTGTTTACAATTTATTTTTCCAAATTGATCCATCTTCGTACGCTTTAATAAATAGCATTGATGACGCGATCACGAAATGCAAAAAAGACCGCAATGCGTTCCAAGCAATGTGCGGACCCTTTCTTAATCATACTGCTGAAGTAATTGCCTTTCCATCCTTCCCATTAAGCAGTAGAGCAACTCTGTTGGAATCCCTCAAGTGTGAATCATGTTCCCGGAAGATCTTGACAAAAGATGATCTCTACAATACGGCTGCACTCCAAGGATTTCTCAAAAATAATGGCATAGACAAAATGCCTGCCTCAACTTCTGGAACCCAGGAGAATTTGTTTTCAGACATTCTTTCACTCTATATTTGTGCATCTTCCTCGGTTCCATTGCCACGGACCCAACTGCAATTTTTTGCAAGAATAGATGAGCAAATGGCAAGAATAGATGAGCAGCCATTGCTCCTTTTGACTCCTGATCAGAAGAGTTGCGTAGAAGAGGAATCGTGGCTCCTCCTCATAGTAGGAGGATCAGGGACAGGAAAAACTGTAGTCTTAAAAGAGAGAGCACGACGACTCGCGAAGAAGGACGCTGATGTGGATGTTTTGGTGGTGAATCTTGCAGGGGGACTTCTCACTAAAGACTTCGAACAGAAATTTCAAGGTTAGTCATTAATCCCTCCCTCTAAAAATGAAACTGGGAATCTCTCAAAAGAAACGTGCTCGTCCAAATCGCGTGCAATATTCAATTCGTGTTTAATTTGTGCCTGTTTAGAACCCAATAGAGGAGCATGTATTGGCTCGACCGGAAAGTTTTGGCCGTTTTCCAGAAAATACATTTCTGGAGTTTCCTCGTACCTTCCACAGTAGCAGTATATAAAGGGTGTGTGGGCGTGATTACGCAGCAGTTGCTTAGTCTTTCAAAGCCCATAACCATGACTTCAAAAATCAACTTAAACAAGACCGCCCAAGACCGAAGTTGGGCCCAATACCGCCCTTCTTTACGACTTCCTATCTGGCGTCACAGCAGCCGAATCGAGTCGCCGCATCTGCGTTGCGTTTGGCCAAGGTGCAGTTTACGATAGGGCAGCGCGACGATCGTTTCCGGTCTGGAAATTACAGCCTCGAGGATGAGCCCAGGTCAGGCCGCCCATCTGAAATAGACGACGAGCAGTTGCAGCACATAGTGGAAGCCTATCCGAGGAAAAGTACCCGCGACTTAGCGACAGCACTTTGCTGATCCCAGTCCACAATCGTGACGCACCTGGCTGCAATCGACAAGAAGAAAAAGTTGGGTCAGTGGATACCCCACGATCTGAGCAATCGCGACCGCGAACGCCGTGCTGAGGTGTGCACTTCGCTGCTGTCGTACGAGCGCACAAACGACTGGCTGGATTCCGTAGTCACTGGAGACAAAAAGTGGATGCTGTACGTCAACTACCGACGCAGGCGCCAGTGGGTCGATGCTGATGCTCAGCCAGTGCTAAGCCCAAAGGTGACCTGCACCCCCGAAAAGTCATGTTGTGCATTTGGTGGGACGTGGAAGGCGTGATCGACTTCGAGCTACTCCCTCCCAATATCAGCATAACCGCCGCCTACTATTGCGATCGGCTGCAGAAGCTCGCCGACAAAACTCCGCACGGTGAGGCCAGGGCACCGTCATGTTCGATTCCTGCACGAACGCAAGGCCGCACGTCGCGAAGATCACAAGGCAGAAACTGCTGGATCAGGGCTGGGAGGTTCTGCCTCACCCTCCGTATAGCCCAGATTTGGCGCCAAACGACTACCATCTCTTCCGAGCTCTGGACAACCATATTCGCCAGAAAATGTTCAACGATGAAGCCGAGGTCGAAAACTGGCTGACTGATTTTTTCGATTCAGTCAGCTCATTTCTACAGGGATGGAATCAGGAGTCTGCCTGATCATTGGCAGAAGGTGATTGACTGTGATGGTGATTACTTCGTTGAAAGAAACATTTTTGCTTAAAAAAAAC